AGCTCTTGTGTTTTAAGTGATAAGACAAACAATTATGAATAGGAATATTACAGAAATGACAATGAAATATTCTTTTATTCAACACGCTGACTGATATTCACTGACTTTAAAGTGGTGAGCAGTAAACTCCTGCAATGTAATGTGACCCCTTTGGAAGTGCTTGTTAGACTTAAGTACATTACATCACACTACTGACACTTGTACGTACTGCACCTACCACACTGCTTTTAAACAATACAAATGTTCGGTTTGTGAAACATTTCAGGAATGTTCCGTGCTAAGCTAAACAAAAGAAGAAGAACATTGATATAATCTTTGTTTTAAAAAAATGGGAACACGTTTAACCTAATACTGCCAGTCACCATAAAACAATTAACGGTCTGCAGATAACCACACGCAACAAACTTTCAACAGTTACACAAACACAGGTCTCTGTAACAGACCAGAATGAGGATGGAATTTCCTGCACCATGTGGGGACACAGTGACCATATAAGATTTAAAATGTCAAATGCAAACTGCTAGTTACTGCTGGTATGTTTTAGTTTTGTTTATTTATTTGTTTGTTAGCAGGATACTACTGGCCATATTGAAATGTAACACTAATTATGTTAACATTGTGAGATGGTTCCATTCTGGTAAACAGATTTTTAGCTCTAAATGTTGAAACGTTTACAAGATTAAGAAAAGTTAGACTATAATGGAAATTCACAGGGGAACCAATTAGAACAAGGCTCAGGAGGTGGCCAGGGGGACTTCACACACACACACACACACACACACACACACACACACACACACACACACACACACACACACACACACACACACACACACACACACACACACACACACACACACACACACACACACACACACACACACACACACACACACACACACACACACACACACACACACACACACACACACACACACACACACACACGCACCCTCTGTTTTATCATTGAGCAGGTCTCCCTTGAAAAAGAGATCAATGATCTCAATGGGATACAACCTGGATAAATAAAGGTGTGAAATGAAATGAAATGAAATCATAAAGAAACATGAAGCTAGCTTTGTTGCTAGTGGTTCTGTATGTCTTACTCAGAATGATAACGTGCCAAACACCAAAAATCAAAGACCTGTACGGTCCCTGCTGTAATAGAAGACAGATCCAGCCAGAGACCGCTCCAGTAGGAATATGCTGAGTCCAGGCAGACGCCTCCTACGCATTCCAGAAGTTTGAACTTTTGAAGAAAAAAAGTGACAGAGCAGAAACAGCACTTGTGAATGTGTCTGTGGTCGGCAATGCATGCATTTATCTGACTCAGCAACTACACTCAATTGACCTGCATGATATTCTATAGTACAAGCAATGTTAAAAAATAATAATTAAGGGTTAAAATGTATAGATAATAATTTCAGATTTGCTGCATGATACCCAACAGCAAGAAACTAAGCCTGGAGCTAAACACCTTTTCAAGATGTACACTTAAACTGATACATTTGTTTATTAATATTTGCACATTGTGACACTGGTTCAATGTATTTCCAGTTGTCTGTACTTACCACCCTCATGCATATATTTAACACTTTAAGTTTGTGTTTGGATGATGAAAAAATGCAGCCCTCTCATTCATTTCAATGAAGCAAGCCCTGCAGAACAGTGTTTGCTAACACTTGAGTCGTCCGGCAAAAAGTAAAACATCGCTTACATTTTGCCAAACCATAATTAGGTGATTTATAGCCAATTGAATACATGCAAGTGGATGGTACTCACATTGTAACCTAAATGCTGTAATTCTACTAATATGGAATCATATGCTAAACCCCGAAGTGTGCATTTTCAGCAAGCTAAAGTTGAAAGAAGTACAGTTGAAATGTACAACTCTGAATCTACATGTGACCAGCAAAGTACAATGGGATGTAGCAGACAGCAGCTGTTTCAACACACCTTATAAAAACATAATGTTCTGTGCTTTCATAGTAGCTGCTTGACTTGAAATTTGGCACTGCAATCTAAAACAACCCACTTCCTTTCAACAGAAATCCTGTGTTTGGTTTTACACTTCCCTATTCAATGAAAGTAATTAGTAACTAATATGAAAAGAACACATATGAAGGATGAAATCTTGCCTCAGGGCATTTCCTGGCATTATAATGTGGCATTTGGAAGGCTTTTATCAGCTGAAGCAAAGAGAGGAAGTCAGGGTAAATAAGGTTAAGTGTGAAATGATGTTAGCAGAGTGCAAATGTTCTAAAGAGGGAGGTAATGTGCTGCGGGTGTGTTTGTAACGGGATGTGAACCAATGCACAGGTGGCAGGGTAGGATCTATGCCAAGATGACTGAAAGATAACTAGATGTTTCACTTTTACAAACAGAAAAACCCTAAAAGGCCAGTTTAAGTTTGAGTTTTTACATCAGACCTGAGTGTTGCACAGCGAGGGTGCAACAAGAATAAGGTGTAATCTACACAAGGATCTCGAGACACTGATTCAGACCTTATGAAAGCAGTGTGGTTAAATGTGGCGTTAGTGCAGGTCATTAGATGGGGAAACACAGTTCTCTCAACTGTTGTATACACTTACTTATATATTTTTTTAGGCCTTGTAACTAACTCACCAGCATTTACAATGGTATGATTTAACTTGAAGTGAATATATCTGCACTACTTGTTGTTCCGAGTTTGATTTTTTTATGGTTTTTGCACTTATTGTAAGTCGCTTTGGATAAAAGCTTCAGCTAAATGATATGTAATGTAATGTAAACATCTTGTGAAAATTCAAGTTGATTTCTTTTTTTTTTAAAACTGCTTTTAAGCTATGATAGAGGTGTACATATGTTGTCAAATTATAACTTTTTTCCTCAATTGAGAGTAGTAGATGATCAGCTGGGAATGGGTTAATCTTAAATGTACCACACTTATGACAAGAGTACAGGATGTTTCAGGGTTACATTCTGTGAATTCCACCAAGCCACTTCAAGTCAAAAGTCTGGTTGGAGAAGTGATGACCACTTATTGTGGACATGTGATGTTACTTAAAGCTGAAATGGTACCACAGCTTCAATAACAAACTCCCGGGAAAATCCCACTCGATCTCTTCTATCCTCCATGTTTTCAACCTTTGGCAATGTAACGGTTTGATGCTTTGTTATCATGCTCCCCCGCTGCATTTGAAAGGTTAGTCTGGCGATGCTTTTGTGGTTTCAAACACTTGACGTTTGTGTTTGGAATGTGGTCAGCTGCTGACACTGCTCTGTCTCAAGAACAATCCAAGTCTGAATCAGGAGCGGTTGCTTCCTGCATGCTAGACTGTGGTGAGTAAGAAGCCCCTGCTTTTCTTAGAATAACAGCCTTACACAAAAAAAAAATGACCTCACTTAAAAAAAGTGCAGACTGCAGTGTTTTGTATGACGTTAAACGATACCAAATTAAGACAAAAACACCATTGCTCTTATCTTATGCGGGTTTAATATTGATTGTTTTGTAAAAGATCATTCTGAAGTGTGTATGGCAAACATTTATCAGTATTACTAATTCAGAACAGCCAAGGCTTATAACTGGGAAGAATGTAAAAACAGGAGCACCCATTTCCCCGGGCGTTGGCAGTATTGACAGAAGGCCTGAGGGATGAGGTAACTACAGGCGGTGTGCATATTACTGAGTTTATGTAGAAAATGAAAACCAGAATATACATTACAATATAAAGGAAACAAAAAAGAGATGGTGAGAGTTTCCAAGCGGACCTAGTTCCCACATGACAGGATATTATTAGCCATGCTATGGTGAAGCGCCACAGATGGCAATGTCGGCCTGTTGGCCATCGCTATTCATTGTTTAAAAGACATGCGTGAGGATGGAACTTAGAGATCCAGAGAATTCTCCTTTAGCGTCATTTCCATGGAATTTGGAACATTTATTCTTAGAGCCAAAAAGAGGAACTATGACGACTTCTGTGATCCCCTGATGTTTGGAGCACCACCAGCAGGTCAAAGTGTTCACTTATACAGCGAAACATCTGAAAACTTTTGATAGGTGGCTTGACAAAACATGTTGTTAGTTAATTAAAAAAACAACTGAAAATGGTTTCTGCATGCAGCTTTGATACGTTTCCAAATTCTCTATCGATAAGAAACCTCAGGGAATATCCAGCTCGCAACATTTTCTACCAATGTTTCGGAAGTCAGATTTCAAGCAGTGGCAGCAGAGGGCAGAGCAGGGGGGGGGGGGGGGGGGGGGGTCTTGATGGATAATCTGCTGGTAGGAACATATTAACATAGACACATATTTACTGGAATGGGAGGCTGCCTCTTAAGACCCAGAGGTGATATAAGCTGTGTCTCTTTGTTATCTTCTGCTCCACATCACATCTGTCAAATTGGATTCTCATCGGGCCAAAAACACCCTGCTGCGGAGTGGATTCTCCTCAAGTTGGTAAACAAGGCATCAGCATTGGAGATAACTGTTGACGTGCAAATAAAACAAGATGTGAACGTGTTATCTCCATTAAGCAATGGTCTGCACTTTGGTTATCTTGTTTATAGGTGGTGGAGATGACAGCTAATGAGACAAATATTTTCGGACCTTTTTCATTGTCTACGTGGTCACAGTCATTCGCTCTGGCACTTTTAACAGAGGCCAGATGTCCCAGATGGCTGGCTGGGCTTTGCACAGTCAGCAGATCTGCGAGCGGAGCGTGAGCTTAGCATGAAACACTGACACGGCACACCAGTCCTCCAGGGATGCAGCCGAGGAAACCTGCAGAGCCACAGCCCTTTCGTTGGGCTTCTGCCAGTATGAAGTGGGACAGTTGCTACGTTACATGGGTTGACGGAACGTTAAAAGGCTAATTAACTTGTCAGCATTATCAGCTTTTATTGTCTGTTTCCCTGAGTTGTTGACTGTATTCAGAGTATTAGTCTAAAGCTCACTCACAACTACAAAAGATCAGTTACACATTTGAAATACTGGACAAAACACAGGACCAACAAACAGGTTACTGTGAAGGAGGAATTTATTTTGATAATCTCTTTATGATGCAGCAAACACCATGAAGGCTAAAAACTGCAGATGATCCGTCTAAAAGTGTGTGTTTTAAAAAGGTGAGGAACCCACTACCCTCTAACAGCCTCAGCACTACACCAAAAACAAACCCTGAAAAACAACATTTTGTCGACACAGAATCAGATATCCGGCGTGACAAGTGTCCATTGAACCCTTCCCTTAAATACTGCGGTTTCTTGCTGTGCCCCCGTGTGAGGCTGTGCCCCCGTGGGAGGCTGTGCCCCCGTGGGAGGCTGTGCCCCCGTGTGAGGCATGGGTTCCTTTAGTCAAAGCAGGTTCACCTCTCTCTGTTTTTGCTGCACTGTGAGAGTTGAAAATCACCCCAGGGTCCACTTGTTGGGGGGGAAAAACCCCACAATCGAACATTACTGTCTCCCATAAAAGACACGGCCCTCTTTCAAAGCACAGTGATCTTTTCTTTTTTTTTTCAAAGACTGCAAAATGTGTAGCTTTGTAAAAACAAATAGAATATATTTCTACATATACAGTATATAAAGCTTGTTAAGAACAAGTAACACAAATGACCAGAGTGATGTAATCAGAAGGCACAGCGAGACCGTAAACATTGTGTTCAGTTCGTCCAAGAATAGAGAGATACCAGGAAGGGCTGAGTGTTCCCAGAAGGCAAGGTGTCAGCCGCTCCTGCAGTGGCAGTCGCTCATCAACATGTTGTAAGGCGAAAAAACACTTTGTGTGAAATGTTGCACTTGGAGTGTACGCAGCACCCGATACGAGCTTTCCTCTAACAACATACAGACCATTGTTGCACCATCACTATCATTGAATCTCCTTTAAACTATCACTGTCTATTACAAGATGGCCGTTCTTCGTTAAATGACAGTCTTCTTCTAACACAAGAACATCCAGGTGAGCTCAAATGTGGCCAACGCACACAGAACCCTGGGTTTTTGCTGAAATGTTTTTTATCGGAGTGCATCATCTTGAATGTCCCTCCCTGCTGGGTGAACAGCCTTCACCAGTATGTGCTACTGGCTGCTGTTGGCTGGCTGAAGGAGCTGCCGAGTCATTGATCACAGAGGTCTAAAGTGACGGCCTGGAACCAGCGATAATTTTACGCGTTGTCATATTTCTGCAGAGCCTCCTCCAGCTTGCCTGTGATTTTTTGGAAGAAGGCGATCTGCTGCTGCAGGTAATGCTGCATCTGGGCCTTGAAGTCGCGCACGCGGATCTGGTGGAAGTGCTGGATCTCCGCCAGCGTGGCGACGGAGATGATGTTGCAGCGGTTGTCGATGCCTTCTGCCTGCGCCCGGTCCATCTTGCCTTCCTCCACATGCTTCTGGCTCTCCTTCACCTTCGTCAGGGCTCCTGTTGGGGACAAGAGAGTAGACATACACATCAAGGTTTATCTTTTTGTTCTGTGATCACTATTCTTATCATGTTTTTAGAAAAGAAAGCATGTTAAGCACTTTAATGTTTAAAAACAAAACGTACAAACATTTGCCAGAAACACAATAGAAGACAATCGAGAACACAATAGTACACATTGATGTTTATATCATCAGTCCTTTATGGCACCATTGGCAAACAATTGTCTTTAGACATTTTTTAGACATGTTTCATGAAAGGGGATGTTCTAAATCTAAAACACCGAAAACACCCACAACATTTATTTATAAAGGTGAAATCTCACATACTATTTAAACCAGTGTGGGAAAAACTGCCCACTAAGTAGGCAACAATGTTCCTTAAGAGATGAGCTGTATTACTTTTAGCATTTAACTCGCCAAACAGTCATCTTACTATAACACTCTTTCACAGGAAGGTTAATTAATAATCTCATTATTATTTGCTATTAAAAATGTAAGAACACAGCTTGACGGTACATCTAGAACTTCAAGGATTCGGCCTTAAATAGTGTGTTCCAAACTTCCTGAGAACCAAGGGCACATCTGTGTCTAAAGTAAGAGAATTTGAGTGGGCCTTAAACATATCTATTACATTATGTCACTTCAAACAATCATTTAAGGGGATGTTGCTGGCAGTTAGTTACCATGTCGGTGTGCTAAGAACTAGCTATCGGTTATTCATGTTGGACATTGCTTTGATCAAAACAAGTGATTTTAACTCAATCATGACAGATGGCACCTCTGCTACGCATTTAACACAAAACTATACCTTGCAAACATGAATCTATATCACACTCATACCGAGAGTCCCCCCTCTCCGTTCTGCCAGTATGAGCTGACGCTGTCGTCACTGTGGCTGACTCTTGTGGCGTAAGAGGATGGAGACATGATGGTTTACCAACCTCACACTCACACACATATCAACCGTCACGGCTGCACCCCTGCCTGCAGTTTTGCTTTCTGCAAAAATAAGCCTTCAGCCATACTGGTGCCTAAACTAGAAAATAGCCGACAACTTTTCAGGCGGATGGGTTGATGGGAGCAGAAGGCAGGGTCAAACACCAGGAGCAGATGACAGCTGACTTATCAAACTCCTGACATTTTCTGACCGAGCAAAGGAAGAAATGTCATGAGCCGTAGAGTCTGAGCAGAAAAGAAACAGAAACTGACAGGTTAAGACCTTCTGTCGGATCTAGCTACTTTAAAATGTGTACATGCCACAGCTGGAGTGAAAGAAACCTCTCTGGGCTGTGACATGAATGCTAATGTGTGCTATGCAGTTCTTAGTGTTTTTCGAAGCATTTGTAATCGTCAAACATGATTTTCTGATTTATTTTACTCTATTTGTAGGCCAGAAAAATCTAATGTGAAATGTCCCCCCCCCTTTTTAAGTAAATATGCAGCCCTTGGGATATTTTAAGTAGAAATAGGTGGTGAAGCCAAAAGCCTCATTGGAAAATTGTACACAATTTCTGACGTTTTCTGACAGACCGACCAATGAATCAAGAAATGAGCTTCCAGATGAATGTTTCACATGAAACTTGATCGGAAACTTGGTTGGTTTTGTCCCGTGCCAGAAACGTTTGTTTACTCAATAGTTTGAAACACAGAAATCCACACTGATGTACTTTGTGCTACTGTGACATAAATGGTGTAAACATTCAAGGCGTCGTAGAAGAAATGAAGTAAGACCAGTGTAACTCCATGCGTGGCTTAAACAGACAGTGTCATCCCTGACATTATGACAGAGTGTGAAGGTGACACATGTTCCCTGAAGGCACGCAGCAGTACTTCCTGTATTGGCCTATCATGGGATATTCTTGTCATCATGTGAGTCACCAGCAGTCGGATGTAAGTCTGATTCAGCCTGCTTGTTTCCTGAAGTGTGAGACCACAGAAGCCCTTCTGACCTAACCCTGCACTCGTTTGGCTTCCGTCAACCCTTAAAGCTAACAGACATACCTTATGACTGCCTTCCCTTACTTCAACTCACAACTATTAACACGTATGGCAGACAAATAAATATGTTGAGAAAATCTCCAAGAAAATGTTTCGCCTTCCCCTCCAATGTCTGCGCAGTTCGATTTTTGGCTGCAGATCCCTCAGCTGCAGCTTAATCCCAAATCTTGGAAATTCCTGTAATGCAGAACCTGACGGAAAGAGAGGCAACGGGAGCAGAGACAGGAGGGAGAAAGAGAGAGAGACGCGGAACAAACACAGCTGTCCAAAGACTTAAATGCCAGTCCCGAAGGTGTTTACATGTACCTTAAAGGTCTCTTGCTTCCTGTGTTTTAAAAGCTCACTAATGGACTAAAGAGGAATAATTGTTGCCATGGAGACTTTATGAGAAAGGCAGGAGTTCAGTCCTAGAAGACGATGCGTCAGCAGACTGTAACACACAGAGAGCCACATCCATTTCACAGCTGCCGCAAGTAAGCTTTGCAGACCTGCTGCAGAAACACAAATACGATACTGTCGAGTAGATATATGGAGGAATTCCATTATAGTTAATTCATCTTCTTGATATTCTCTCAATAACTTGACTGTTTAGTCTATGAAATCTCATAAAAACAGTAGCATTGAAATGTCCCAGAGACCAAGGTGAACTCTTCCTATTTCTTTTTGTTTAGTCCTTTAACCTGAAATACATAAATGTCCTATCATAAGTATGCAGAAGCGTCACAGTGAGAGTCTATGATACAACACACCTATGTGTATGTCTTTGTAGTAAGTGTTACCTTCAGATAGATAATAAAACAAAACGTGAACACATAGGATATTGAGCCATGTTGTATTGCATCTGATGTATTGTTGCACAAACACTGCTTCTGCTTCTGCCATACTCTCTGTCGCATGCTGTAATGAGTGAATAAGAGGACGTCCATTTATGAGATACATGTTCCTGCTAGAGAAATCCATCCTGATGAGCGCCTCTGAAAAAAAACCTTGGATGTACAGAGGGAGGTGGCATGGAGCCTGCTGGTCTCACTGGAGGCTGCTCTCCAGCTCTTACGTAATCCCTGATTACACAACGCTCCTGCAGGCCTGTGACCTGAACAACCAGCGGCAGTCCCCGTCTCATCGCTCCGCCACCTCGTGCATCCATTCATGCCTCAGAGGGCATTTAAATAGCCTGGGCCAATATAAACTAGACACACCCAAAGTGTTTGCACAGGAGTTTCAGCTGATAATGCTGACTCAGCAGGAAAACCTGACCTCTTTATAAATGGGTGCTTTCCCCAAACCCGCCTGGCATACTTTGATCCCTTCATGTGGTGATAAAACAGTGATGAGATCAGACTATAAGTATAACTCTCAGTGACGTGCTCAATTGGTCAAATTAACAAGGCAAGGAGAAGACATGAATAAAGTAAAGATGGGGATAAAGTGGGTCAAGCCAAAAAGCTTTTCACCAAATGACTTATTAACCTAATCTTATTTCATCACGGTAGGCTTAAGCTTACTCTCCTCTAGTACTGGAGTTGTGTTCTGTATGCAGTCTTTGCTTTATAGCAAACTGATTCAATTAGAGGGACAGACCATTGTAAGCTACAGTATGTGAATGTGATTAAGGACATCAATCAATCAATGTTCATCAATGTGTGCTCCTCCCTGGAAACCGTCTATTTCCTTAGCCTGATGGATACTTGACATGACATGAGTGTTTTTCGCAACTGAATAAAAACATTGTTTGCATAATTTGAACTAAATTCATAATTTGCCCTGGTCTAAAGTCAACTAAAAGTGTTTCCTTAAAGAAACACTGCAGGCAAGATCAATATTATCTCATTGACTAAGCAGCATAACTGGCTGTATTTTAATATTCCCTTGACAAATAGACGATGTTAGCTGTGACAAAAAACATGAAAATAAATTAGATTTTACATCTCCAAAAGCCGGTGGAACATTTTCAGACTGCATGTATACAGAGAAGTTTTACCATTTCATTGAGCCATTCCTCTAAAGCTTCAATAATGCTGAAGATATGATTTTGTAGGATGCTAGGGTAGTTACTTAATCGAAGGATCTATACAAAAGATCCAAAAGCACCACTTCAAATCTTGTTTTTACCAGAGATGTGCTCATGTAGTTAAACATTTAAAAATAAAAATGACCACTCGGCTAAAGAAGTTTAGTCCATTGTGACCAAAAAGACAGATTTGTCCACAAACAGGGGGCAGCCCTATAAATAAGCGTCTTCTCTTACAAAAACAAATAGTGTCTTTGGTAATCAGCCAGAGCCAACCCTTAACTTTGGACTGTAAACGGTGAGCATTTATAAAAACATTCTCCACCCTTCCTCTTTCTCAACAACCTATAATACAAAGAAACAGAAAAACCTTGTTCTTATCTGAAGCTGTGTCGAAGCAACAGTAACACATTAGGACAAAAATGAAATATACAAAAAATAAAGGGCGGGAAACACAATTATTTTCTGAAAGCTACACCCGATATGATATTGATATCATGAGCCAACATTTTTCCAGTCGAGCTCAACGCTAATGGTGTCCCTGAAGAGAGGACGATCAATACGGTGTGTACAGTGTCCGTCTGTGGGACAGCTCACATTTCCCTGGTCCCTTCCTAATGAGACAGATACAGTGAGCTAAAAATGGCATTGTTGATAAGACTAACAAGCCATGCTTTGATAGGTTTCTCCTAAAGAGAGCAGAAATGCAAAAGAGATACAATCTTAAATAGGGTATGATCTCACCACGCGTATTAGCATCAACCTGCACTTTTAAAGCTGATATCATTTGTCTTTCAGATTGACCTTAAATCTTGATTATTACTCCACCACTGCACGCAAACAGCACCATAGAGTCCCAGCTGACCTACTTGGCTCGCTGAGTCTGTGACCACTTCTGTTATGGAAAGTATACTCTGGTCTGTGAACACAAAGGATGCGGACTAGCCTCACTCTCAAATGGAGACTGCAATAACCCTCATAAGAGAGGAAATGCACTTGTGGACGTTTCCTTCACACCTTTAGGCAAATTAACACAAAAAGACAGATGGGATAGTCGCACACAGAGTGGAAAAAGGAAGTGTTTTAATAAATATATAAAAGACTAAAAGGGAAAAGGGAGACACATGGCCAGACATAACTCAGAACATGTCTGCTGGTGTATATTTAAGCTCCCATTGCTACAGTATTGTCTTCACACAATGAGATTCCAGTGTTATTCTTACTAATTACAGATATTTCACTGCAGTATTATAACAGTTGCCAAGTGCTGGAGGATTAAACAAAACCTTTGAGGTGAGTAGACTTTAGAGCGTGAATGTCAAATACCTTAGCAAAGGTTCAACTTATTTGCATGTAACGCTCCCTGGGAACACGAAGGCAATGTGAGTAACAGGCAGCCATTCAGCTGTCATGAAGGAGAGAACCTTTGGAATCCTTAATGAAACGCAGGCGCATTAACTGTTGCAATATATCACTGTCACTATGTGGCATAAATGTTTTAGCATCTTGCACATACTGGTATAATATCGCAAGTAAAAGGCCGAACAGTGTGAGTGGTTACACAAAGACTCTGCTTGCTTTTAACCAATGTTGTGTTTAACTTTACTTCAAGGGCTGTCGCAAAATCAAATCACTACAAGACTGCTGTGGGCAAAACAAATAATCACAATGACAATATTTTTGCCATATCTATTAAAAAAATGTAAATAAATAAAAAGGATTCATTAGTGGAGGGAGATTAATCGAGAGCATACAGATACGGAAACAATTTCAAGAGGAACAGGAACATCATAGTATTATAAGATTAATGCCAGTGTTTAGTTATTTAAAGATATGTTGTCATCGATACCGGTATATCCCTCCACTTCCTCTATATATAAATACATTATGATTGCCTTCTTCTCTTCCCTGATGATTAAGGGGGAAAGGAATGTGTGCATCACAAAGACAACAAGCTCAACCGGTATAATAGAGAAGCTAAACAGCCTCAGTGCACTAAAAACAAGATGAGATCAGAGTCTGGGTCTCAATGTGTTACAGGCCTCCTTTCATCTGCTGCGTGCCCTGGCTCTCCTGTCAGCTTTGTTGCAGTGAGGTTTCACTGCACTCTGCCATCTTTTCTCAACACTGCCCACAGCAACTTCTTCCATGAGTGATATCAAATGAGAGTTTCTTATCTGTGGTATTAGGCCGGGCTTATCACATCAGACTACCTGAATGGCTGTGAGGCCTTATTTGGGCTGTGTGGGGACGACGTGGCAAACCTGATTTAAGCTGACTGGGAAGTTTGTGTCCCAGTGCAGACTAAACACATGTCTGTCCTGTTTCCCCAGTGGTGTCTATTGTGGACTGAATGGGCCCAGTGTTTGCAGGGGGACCCATGATAGACCAGGATGTCAAAAGGCAAGCATCCATGTATACCTGGTCAACGAAATACTGGAGGGGGATTCTGAATAGTGCATACAAAGACCATCTTCCCACCATGATCTGATATAAACATAAAGGATGGAGCGAGATGGATTAGTTCACATCATAGTACTAGTTTGGATTTGAAATGTAATACAGTTTGAAAAGAGACCTCCTATATACATATTCAGAAAACAGGCAGCCAAATATAACCCACATGGAGGAGAAGCAGTTTGGATTGAGTTGCTTCAGGTTATCATTTACGCAGGAAGCAATTGTGTCACATACAAACATATGGTGAACAGCAGCGGTGCTTCGAATGCTACAATGCTGCGCCTCTTGCATAACAGTGTTGCCTCTCATGAGAGTGACATTTTGCCACACAATGAGAACAATCATTGGGCTGGGGTCGTGTAGGAGGAGAGATTAGTGTAACATTGACACTCTGCGCAAAAACAACAGAATATGCGGACAATCATTTATACGGGATTATGCTGCAATTCTTTTTGGGCCAGTGTTGTGATCAGCAGGCCAGTTAGGACATTCTCCGCCTCCAGAGCACTCACATGAAACACTATGCATGTAACACAAGGTGGGATAAACAAAGCATGTCAACGGATTCCCAAATGCAAAAATCGCCTATTTGTTTTGCAAAGTGACATAACCTGTAGGGAAGTATAACCTGACCGCTGTTGACAAGTCCAACAAACTGGCTGAAACTAAACATGTGTTTACCTTTTAAGGGCCAGCAATACCTTTGTATTTACTTTATGACACCAGCAGTACCATGTGGTTTCCTGTCTACATTTATACATGGGGAATCTGGAATTGACTAAATCCCTGGGGTTGGAAAACATTTCATTGGATAAATAAGAAATGTCTCCTGTTGTTGTTTTAGGATTGGAATGATGTGTACCTTTGACATATTCCTGTGTAGTTTAGTTTACATTTAACAATTATTCTCAATATTCACTAATGTGATGATTATAAATGTATAGTTTGTTCTATAACATTTCACAAAAATGTAAAAGTGTCAATCCTAGATTCTTAAAGTCCAGTGTGATGTGTTTGAATGATTTGTGTTGCAAGTATAAAACCCAAACATACTCAGTTTAATATGATATCAAACTGAGAAAAGCCTTATTTGAGGGGTTGAAAACTGCATTTTCTGATTATTTTCAATCGACTACGACGAATCCATTAGATGACAAAAGTTTTTTTTCCTAAATGTTCAATAGTGCTAGGCTTTTAATAGTGTTGAAGAAGCAACAACACATTGAAATGTAGTGATGATATAAATCAAAAGACGTAAAAAAAAAAGAACATCTTTGGATTTTAGAGGCTCCTGTGAAAGCAACCAATGCAAAATGATACATGTGTGTGAGAAATGAATGAAATGTGTATGACAGTGTGATTTTACCTTTCTGGACATGGATTATGTCTGGGTAGTTTGCCAGGTGTCCTTGGTAAAGAGCTAACAAATCCATGATGGGGTCGAGATCTTTGCTGGGCTGCTCGGCAAAATACTCTCCGATGGATTCGTACGCATCTCCAGTGAAGGAGATGGCCTGGTTGAGTCCTGAAGAGTAAGCCTGCTGGTCCATTTCAAAGGCTTGGCTGAGGACCTTGAATGACATCCCCACTTTCTGATACTCCTTCTTAAAGCCAGTGATCTGCTTGCGGGCAAACTCGTTGGCCGTGGCGTTGAGCTGAAAGGCGCTGTCGTCCATCCTTTTGGTGAAAGTCTTGAATCCGTCTATCTTGCTCTCGACCTCCTGGAAGTCAAGCGGAGCAGCAGGGGGGCTGATGGTGAGGAAAAAGTTGGCTCCAACCATCTCGTCCTTCTCAGCCTTCCTCTTCCCCAGCTTCCAGGCCTTCTCGTCTGTGCTGTTGCAGGTCAGGAAGTGCTGGAACACATCACACCTGGCCAGGACAGGGTGGCTGATCATGTGGTTCATCCACCATATGAGGCCTTTCCTCCTCTTGGAGATGAAGTCCTCCTCGAAGCGCCCCGTGGCCTGCTTCTCTGGGATGTGTGGCACTGAGATGACGGGAAACTTCTCCACCAGCCGAGCATACAGCCAGTCAAAGTGCTTGTACCTCCTGTTCACCTGGTTCTGTGTGTGGGTGGGGGTCAGCTTGTAGGACATGTAGCTCTTCATGCCCTTGAACTTAGTCTGTTTAGTTGGGTCGTCAATTGAACAAGCGAATGGGTACGGGTTCTCCTGCCACTCGGGGCCATACTGACCCATTATAACGCAGATTTTGTCCCCATCTTTCACAAAGCCTGCGGCCTCCCCAAGCACAAACGCCTCTCCTCCTGACTTCACAAAGGTGGAAAACCTGTTGAGGTTTCTACTGACCGTGGCAGAGCTCTTAGCTTGCTGTGCGTTACCTCTTGACATTGAGGATGTTGACACTCTATAAGTGGATGCTCGATTACCTTCAAAGCCATGATACCCTCCACCAACAGTCCCAGGCTCATCTGCAACAGTAGAGCTGTCATCCCAGTCATCATCCCAGTCATCATCGCTGCCTTGGCTGGGCTGCTGGTGGCTGGGCTGCTGGTAAGTGGGCTGCTGCTGTGGTGGTGGTGGTTGTGTGGGGGCTGAGAAAGAGGCGATACTAGGAGCAGACGGTTTTGTAAAGTTGTCAACTTTATTCTGAGGCTTGTAAGAGCCGTCGAAACCTCCGGGGGGGATGTTTGCATATCGCGAGTCAGGCTTAGCGTCCCCAGATGTGCTGCAGCTGCTGTTGTTGTTGAGCGTGGATGCGGTGTCGGTCCTTAGGATCTCCACGTAGGACGCGGGGAACAGACCCCTCTCCCCTTTGCTGTTCACCCCCTCAAACCAGCCGTCAATATCCTGCTCGCTGTACAAAGTGAGGATTTCGCTCTCCTTCACCGACACCTCCCCGGGGTTTTCAGAGCTGAAGTCGTATAGCACCCTGGCTTTTAGCGCCATGTTCACTAACAGCTGGAGGTTGAGACGGGCAGCAGGCTAACTTAAGGCTGGCTGGCCGGGCAGGAGGGAGGCGCAGCGGGCAGCCAGACTAGCTCAGTCAGCCTACCCGAAACTACTCTCCAAACTCCACGTACAAACTTATCCTTCGTGAGAAAAAAAACCCTGTTTTAATTCCTCTCTGCGTGGTCCTTCCTCTCGGTCAGCCCCGAGAGGAAATTATGGTTATTTTTCAAATCAGAGGTTGCAGCGTGTGAAAGTGCAGCAAAGGTATTTTCCGCTACAACAACATTCATGTGTGGGCTCCTCCAGTCTCCCTCCGCTCCGGCTCGGTCGCTTCTGCCTTCACGCTGCGCAGCAACCGCACGTCGACCAGGCTGAATAATCGAGGGCGGAGCTACAGGATGCTGCAATCCTACAGACAACACCAATCAACCGCCTGATGTGCTACAATAAAGTACATCATCCAGACGAAAACGTCATGTCCCTCAAAAATATTGCATACTAACCTCACAAGCGTGTGAGAATGGGTTGTCAAATTCGTGAAGAGTTTATTTGAGGGCTGGGAGATAACAGTGGGAAAAGGTAATGTCTCAATTTGACGCTAATGCAAACAATTGCATACCATGATAAAAAAAAAATACTGAGTTCATGGCTGTTAGACTACGTAAAAACAGTGCAGAAATGATAAACCCTGTAGTAAAAGTAAGCAAGTAAAAGTATTAATACTGTACGCATTAGCGTCAACATATGCATTAACTAGCAAAGTAATATGTAAGCTTCCTCAAAATTGTGCCATATAGCCCTTAGCTAATTGAACAAATGTTCATATATTCAACCCCTGGATGACACGTTTTTTTGGTGTAACCTAATACCTATCAAAAAATACTTATAATGTCCATTTAAATACTATTGCCTCAATCATTTCGGAATTGAAATTCATTAATAAATACTATTACTCTTACACATTTATCTGAGTTAAAACTCTTGCTGACTAGTAGGTTTACAATTTCATATATATATTTTGTATCATTATTAGACACAATCTAACATTTTATTTAGAAAGTTTCCATAAAATGCATGCATAGAAGCAAAGAAAGCAGCAACAAATCAAAACAAAAAACAACACATCATTTCCAGCAAATACGTAGGTTGCAGATATCCACACTAACTTTGGAATATAACTGCACATTTGGCTGCTAAAACCCCACATGTTTGCTATAAAAAAAAAAGCTACAGAAGAAATGACCTCAAGAGTCCTCAGTGTTAGCTACTGCCTAGTTGGGAACCAGTGATCCATGCCCACTTTTATGGCTGAAATGTGTACTGAAGTATGGCAAAGCAGTCAGCTCTGATCTTTTGGTTTATCTTGTTTTCATATTGTATTCATCACCAACAGAGCGGCCGGACATAACTTATTTTAGAAAACATTTACTTTTATAAAAATGTAAAAACAACATGGGCTTTAAATAGAGCACCCTGCAATTGGAGTAATATGCTTTACCAGTCATAGAGCAAGAAGCCCCATCTGGTTTAGCCATTCAAGTTCTGAATGGAATTTAGACTGTAGGTTGGATGTTAGGCTAACCCGGGATCTTCCCAACCTTTGTCATCTCTCATCAGCTGAAAGGAATGTCACCTAAACACCGACATCAGTCTGACTTGTTAGCTCAAGACTCAGCAGCACTCACTTACTGCATGTCTGCATTTAGGTAGGTAATCAAAAATACTATCACCAAAAATCACTGTAAAATAAATGAAGACATCTCTATGTCTAAAGCAAGCAGCTATTCTGACTTAGACATGTCTTCACCAGTGTCCCTAAATGATTCAACAAAGCCCTCCAAAAATAAAATATGTAGCTACAAAAGACACACAATCAATAAACATATGTGTGTGTTGGATTTGATTTGGTTTAATTCAGCAAAAAATATTATTATTTTATAAGCATGCAGTCAGCTTAGATCTTTATTATCCCATCAGAGAATATTTCTTTGCAGAAAATCTTTTTTAGAAACATAGCATTGGAACACAATAAAAACACAACAAGATGGAAACGTGGCCATCTCCTGGCCTTCTAAATATTTAAACATTTATTATGGGAGAGTTTGCTTTGGGTGGAATGGTTTATTAATGAGATGCAATGCAGTTGCAATTGTAACATTTCTTGATCAAATCTTTAACTGTTGCATGTAAACCAGCAGAAAACCACACTTTTGCCTAAATTCTGCAGCTTAGGTAGTAAGATTTTGAAAGCCAATATCTAAAAAAAAAAAAAAAATGGGATATGCTTCATGAATTGACATGTCAACAAACGTTCAAAACAATAAAATGCGATTCCAGAGTGAAGGAACCTCTGACATTGGTCAGGATACAGGTGATAAAAGCACATTGTTGTGCTGATAATGTTTAATTGTATCCTTTAGATTGGATAGATTAGACATTCATATGATTGATCTAACGGTGCATTTAGGACACAGCTTTCTCCAATAGCTTCAGAGTTGGATTTCAATAAAAACTTCCATAAACTATACGCACTGCATTGGCTTTCGCACCCCACTGAAACTAAGCCTAAACTGAACATTGTTTTCTTCCAATAAAGGCTATAATAAAATCCAACGGAAACATAAAGCGTTTGCATTTATTATTTAGGAGTCATATTTGCACACCTCGAAACACCTGTTACATTGACTGACCATTTCCTTATAAGAAAGATGTATAAGACAACAGAAGGCCTGTAATGTTGGTGTGCTATTTGCTCTGGTAGACACTGCCCCCTTGTGTCTGTTTTGAGATTTGTTTTCAGATGGGGGATAGTAAATTCTTCCAAATATGTAAAAATAACAATATTGATAACATTAAGAAATAGAATAAATAAAGACTTCGGTTCAAATCTAAACTGGAAATGTAAATGTAATGTTTCTAAAAATGCCAAACGCTATAAAGTTTGTATCTGACCTAGTTGCAGTATTATCTTAACCATAAAGTAACCACTGACATTGCATTAATAAGATTGTAAACTATGATATGCCGGTATATGCCCTTTTAATCATAAACAATCTTGGGGGCACCTGTAGGGCAGGTGGAAGAGCAGATGGGTCATTAATATTAGGGGCTTCCTTCCTTCTGTCCATGTTTCAAATTGTCCTTGAGCAAGAAATAGCTTGTGATGTGTATGTGTATGCGAGAAAATGAGTCACTTTGGACAACTGTCTCTTACAAATAAATATAAAGTCAACCACCTTTTTAAATCAACCGCCTGAGTCTTTAATAAAGGCCACCAGATGTCTCTCCTCTCACTTTTGACCCTGAAGAATAAATAATACTATATTTGATTTATACGTTTGAATATTCTATTAAAGTAAATGTCTTCTTTTGTCTCTAAACAGCCTTTATACCTCTGCAGAAGACATCCAGTTCACTATGTTCAGGGAGATTTTCTTTTAGCACAGCTCATTAAATATTAAATAGGAATCTAAACCAATAGGAATTACTTCAGTATGCAGCTCACATCACATTTTATCCTGTTCATTTTGTCATATTTGGTGTTCCAAATCCAGCGAGGGTTTTCTGTACTGACTTTTAATTGTAGTGGTGTCAGTTAGTCATACATTTATATTCTTAAGCACTTACTGGAAGTATACAGTGTACAGTTCTTGATACACAGTAACCAATACATGGTTTTGTATTCACCTGGCAAACGCCTATCCTTTCCTTTATCCCCTGTCTTCTGTCTATAACATCTGTTCAGGCCTACATGCCTCAAAACAACCTGCCTTCGACTTTGAACCGTGATATTACTGTGTAACCCCCTTTCATTCATTATGTATTGTGTAATGTATTATGTCACAGACGGATGCAATGTGGGCCGCTAAAAACTTGAAAATGTGGAAAACATCAACTGCATGAATTTGTAGGCACAAGGTCAGAGTCCTGAGTTAAGTGTTGGATTACTTGTTCAGAATGGAAAAAATAAGCACTCAATACAGAGCCACCTAGTGGTGCAATACATTTTGGTATACAATCTCAAATGTTGGACATGTAATTCTATCAGAATCAGAGTACCTTTATTCGTCCCACAGAGGGGAAATTAAAATGTGTTACAGCAAGTAAAGAGCCAAAGATAGCTTAATATCACTTAAGAAGCATGCATACACATATTAAAAGATACAACTATAAATTACACAATTTACAAAATACACATCCAGTACCAGTTTAGCAATATAGCAGCCAGGTAAAAGTATTAAACGTGGAAGTATATATATGTATGTGATTTGTGATTGTATCTTTTTTAATAACCTTTTATATTCTTCTAAACTTTTTTAGAATGTAATAATACTTTGAAGTAGCCTTGCTTTCATCTAATGTTACTGTTTTATTACATTTAAAAGTATGTGCCTACTGCCTTGATTTTTAATACAGTTTGATATGCACTTTGAATTGTATTGTATGTGTGAAAGGTACTATACAGTCTAAGTTACTTGTTATTATAAGTTACTTAATGTTATTATAATTTACTTATATTATACATAAGCTACTGTATTATGTGCTCAAGTTATGTATCTGAATGAACGTAGCCTATAGGCCTGTATTCGGAAATAACATGCACACAGTATATGAGAGATGCTCCCAATCTATCACAAAATCTGCCTTCTTTTAAAATCACACGACAGCAGCTGTTCTACCTCTGCAATGTTTACTGATGGAACCCTGTAGATCTGTGCATCCGTGTTACATCATTGATAGTGATAAGGGGACGAGAGAAAGTCCGTACCTCATCTTGGCAGTGTGAGAGACTTTATCTTACTATTATTATTACAACTGTTTATTACTATAAATAATACAAATGACCGTGAACAAATTGGATCGACAATGCACTTCTAAAATCCAAATAAAACTGTATGTCCGCTATTTAGACATTTAAAAAGCACAAAAGTGGATTTAAACAAAGAGCATTTTAGCAGCGGTCCCTCCCCATAATGAAAATAGCCACCATGTGTTTGGTCACGTGACCACGCTGCGCGAGCAGAGTGACGTGCCTGACGTCGCGTTGTAGGCTTCGCTAGTTTCCTCAACCAAACACTCAACTGATATTGTGTGATAAAAACTGGAAGTTAGCCGGTGGACGAGGGGCTATTAGTTCAGAAAAAGCACACGATCCAAGCGGCCCTCGTCGTTATAAACAAACCGAGTCGTTTCCGTTTTGGAACGTTTGTTATTATCGAAGAAGACGGCGAAAACCTTTGCTTTAAACACACCAAAGGTTGGTTTTTATTTTGCTGTGGCTGTGAGGCGGGGAATACAAAGCGACGTGTGGTCAAATCAATTACATTTTGGACTCATTGAAGCAAAAACGGGATTAATACAAAGCCAGTTCGTGCTGCTGTGACTGGTCAGCCATAGTACATGGATTATCTGGTAAGTAAATGCATCTAAATGTTGTGGTATTGTGTTTTCCAACCAAAGACACCCTCTAACGTTATGGTTCTTGCCAGTTTGACTCCCTAATCACACACTGATGCCACTCAGGTGTGTGAATCTTAAATATTAGGTGTCGTAGCTGTTTCTGTTTTAAGCTAATGTGTCAGGTCTAGCCTGTAGCTTTTGCATATCAGTGTTGTGTGAGCAAGGTCTAACTGGTTGACCCAGACTCCGGTCTGTTTACATGTGAAACACGATAACTAGCTACACCCCTGAGGTCCTGTTAGCTTAGTTATCATATGACTGTAACGTTATGAAGCTTTTATTTTCCACCTATCTAACTCTTGCTACTGTGGACAAAGCTGCTCTGTGTGTTGGAATACTTGTTTCAAGAGGTGATTGGGTCACTAGTTGGAGACATTATTTCCCTGGGACCAACATTATTATTACAGTCCAGTTCAATGTGCCAGCTTTAGCCTGGGAGATTATAGTTTAGGGTCCATAGTGTGCCCACCTAGTAGGGGTGGGATGGGTGCTGCTGCAAAAGTGCAACAATGGAGAGGAAGCTGTAACTGGAGGCTTTCCCTGCATATATAGAGCAACAGGAAAAAAAGAGTACACAAGACATTGTGCTGTAATCTCAGGGGACAGAGGGACTGTGTGAAATGCAGAGAGACTTGCCTACCCAGTGTTATCAGTTTGTTTATAATGGGCCTTCCAAGATGTGGGACCTAAAAGGAACTTTCAACTTCTGCTTCATTGAGACATGTCTTGAGTTGAGATGACACAGTCCTATCCTACAACTGGCAGTATAACCTGTATGCAATAGTCAATGCAAACCGATTTTATAGCTTGCTTTTTTGCAGCATCTGACTTTGGAGTTAATAATCTTGCAAGGAATTTAGCTCGGCGTCAATGCATGTTGATCACAACACTGTTTCTTAATGTGCCAGTGTTAGCCAAAAGGTATTTTATTCAACTTTTGTCCCTCAGCTTGATGTGACAACTAAATCAACAAATAAAATCATATTACAGAATATATAGCAACATCAACACAAACATTTTAAAACATGACAACATAAAATCACATACCATTTCAGAGGACATGTAAAATCAGAAGGGATGCAATCGGACAAACGGACAAAAGCCAAGCAAATCATTTAGTTATTTTGTAATATCAGTTGCATGTCAATGGAAAGTTCTGGTAAGGTGAACCCAGCAGGCATTATCAAAGTAAGCACACTCTGAAATGTGAAATGATAGAAATTGATTTCAGCTCGGATCTTTTTGTCTTGGCAAAGAGCTATATGCTATAACCGCTCATATTACCTAGGGAAAAGTGATTTTTTCCAGCTTACTGGCTCAAGGATTAAAGATTTTCTGTGTCAAACAGTTTTCTGTGGAAAGCACAGCTGTAACTCTGTGGACTGTTGGAGCCGAGCGCTTGGCTCTCCTCTGAGGTCAGGCACTCAATAGGCGCAGGGCCTCCTTTCCTGCTGTGCAACACTGGAGACCTGGCATAAAACCCAGGCCAAAACTATGTCTCTCTCTTTCCTATAAATCAATGGAATTTGTCACTAAACCCTTGAAAAATGAAGCTAGTCTAAAGCGATATGCATGTCGTTTACGTAAGGTTTTTATAAGGTTAGACCTTAAAGAGTATTTTGGACATTCAGAAATGGAAGCACATCATTATTGCACAGTGCTTGGTCATAACTGTGGTTTGAATTATGACTGTAGCAGACATCTGTTTAAAAGTGGATTCATTTTCCCACTGAGACCTGGAGCATTTTGAAAAACTGTACTCCTGCATGGTGAGTGTAGTGTTGAAAAAGACTTCACAAAACACCGACAGAGGAATTTGGTGCTAGCTTGTTGCCATGACAGAGCCTTACCAAATTACAAGTGCACCGTGTTGCCAACTTTTGGACCCTGACTTATGGCCAACTTTACTAGAGAGGACACGTTTAACAGCGTTAACACCTTCTATGTGAGAAAACCAAACTATTTTCTGTATTCTTAATTTCTGAAAAACATACAAGAACATACAGCGTTAATCTCCTTTGGCTTTAATTGCCTATTAAACACATTGTTACGCTTGCATGGTCATATTTATATTACGGCTATTCCATTGCATTATTTCTGTTCATCAGTCGCTGGAGGCACATTCTCAGCCTCTAGGCTATTTCGTGATCTTGCAACAACATATGCCTTGTTTGAAAAGATTACAGGCTTTTAATTTCCGCTGCACATTAGTGATTAAACCCTCGGGTTGACTGACATTCTGGTCATTTTTTTAACTCTGCCCTAAGGAAGCCAAACATGCTAAACAAATTCTTTCAAAATTAACCTTTATTTAGTTTGGTGTGGAAAAACTGATATGTTTTTATGTGGAATTTATATTATAATAATACATGTTATTTATATAGCGCTTTTCCTGTGCTCAATGCGCTTTACAAGCAAGTAAAGACAAATAACAACAAAGGTAAAAAGTGCTAAGCTAAGTGGAATAGGGGCAAGCGGTTAGTGGATTAGGAGTTGAAGGCAAAAGTGAAAAGGCGAGTTTTATTATGCCAATAGTCAGTGAGCTCAACCACCTGCATTGACCTTAAACCATATACTGATGATTTGACAGATACCCGAGAGCCTCATCCACTAACAGGCTGACCCTCACATCTACTCCAGCTCAGGGAAATATAGGGAGAAAAAGGGGTTGTAAGAAAGACAGTTTATTTATTAAATTAAATCATTGTCTCTTGATTTAAATTCAACAGTTGCATTTACCATATTTCTGATTGACTTGCATGCTTTGTTGCTAAACATTTGACATATTTCACTATGAAATAGATATGTTCATTTCAATTCAAAATGTAAATGTTGTCAACACCACCCACCCACTTGCTATTCTATCCCCTGTTGTAAACATAAAGCATTGCATTAACTACATGAAACTATTACCAAGACATGAGAAAGGCAGGGTAATAGCAACACTTATTTTACTTTTTGGATGTAATATGACTTAGCCACAGTTTGCTAACACTATATATAGCTAATACATTTCAAAACAGACATGCACATTACTAACTGGCTAATTGCAATTTATGTAGAGATGGATAACTCTGTGTACACTTTGACCCTCTTTCTAAAAAGTGAAACATGTTAGCTATCAGGTATACCACAGCTTTTAACCAAGATGCTAGGTATTCAGCTGTCATTACTATTAATACTTGTGTCTGACTAAAAGGCCAAACACCTGTTTTCAGCAAGCTTTGCCGATGCTAGCTGCCACATGTTAGCTTTCTGCTTTGTTATTGTGAATAGAATCTAAGAATTGGACATGGTTGACGTAGGGCTGCTCGATTATGGCAAAAATCATAATCTCGATTATTTGGGTCAATAATTGATATCACGATTATTAAAAACGATTATCCATTTACTTTGAAAACATCAATTTATTGGAGAATTTTTTTTTGAACAGTATGTTTTTAACAGTTGATTACCCTGAACTTTAAGTATAATTCAACTGAAAAACCAATAAAAAAAAATGTAATTTAAAAAAAAAAAAAAGTAATAATAATAATAAATAAATAATCGTTTTATTTCGATTACGTTGTTTTCGTAATCGTTGCAAGCCATAATCGTAATTGCGATTCAAATACGATTTAATTGAGCAGCCCTAGGTTGACGACACTTTCATCTTCCCAGAGCTGTTATCAGTATTTATACCACAATATTAATTGGTCTTTTTGCCAGCTCTTATTTTGGCAGGATACATATATATTTTGCAGTAACTATTTATCTCTTACACAGAATACCAACACTGGACATCATTTAGATAATTACATCAAGTTACAGAGTTTGCATTCTTCATGTGTTTTTAAATTCAGTATAAATTGGCATGTAGCAGCAAGTCATAAATAACTAACTAACCTAAAAATAATGACTTTCATTGGAGAACCATCATTTGAAATGTGAGATTCCTCTTATGATTATTTATGCTGAATGTGTTAAACACTTGCTGCCACTAGCTCAAGGAAACAGCATGGAATCTGCAGTATTTAAAAATAAAACATTATAATTCTTTATTTCTTGTCTTTAGTTGATAGTAGGCAGTTAAGGAGTCAACCATTCCTCAGAAAAAGAGAGAGAGTTAGAGGGGCATGACATCAACAAGGTCTCTGAACTGAATCAACCCCGGGCAGCTTTGTGGGATTCGGTTTGCACTCGGCACTAAGATCACACCTTCATGAAAATAAATTGTGTTAGCATGTGTTCTTGGCGGGCCAACTGTATTTCAGAGCAGTTGTACTGTATTTCAGAGCAAGGCACACAGCAGGGAATAGCAGACTGGCATCTCACTGGGATAACACAGAGGAAGGAGAGCCGAAAGAGATTTTGGCAGCGTATGAATACTGTTTGTTAGCCTATATGGGATAACTTTTCCGCCTAGTTTGTCCCCCATCTGACCACGTTCTACACCTGACTGGTATAGAAGACAAATTGTCAAAAATGACCTATTGCATGCAGATTAGAGCACCAACAGTTGCACACATATTATACAAAGCGTGTGGTTTTTATACAGTATGTAGATGGATGTTAATAATTTACTTACTCCATCAGTGAGAGCTGGTTTACTCAGGTTTCAGTTTGAATGGATGTGAATGGTTTACCTTTTAGTTTGGTGTTGGCTACAGTTTTTTTTTTTTAAAGTGCATAGCCTCCAGCTATAATGTGAAATACCTTTGTGAGCTCAACAACATTCCGGAACCCCCGTCCCTGATTTCAACCTGCTGGCAGCGTGTCAGCCATGTTTCTGTGTCTGCTGGTTTCTGAATGCAGTGATTCCCATCGTCTGTGAAGAGTGCTCATGAGTCAGCAGATAGGGCCTGAGCAACATCAGTCTTGCTGATAAGGGAATACTTATGGTTGTTTCACTATCTTATGATCATGATAAAGCTCAGGCACTTTAGGTTAATTTCATATTGGCATTCATATAA